CCTTCCTGGTTCCTATGCCTCAGCTCACCTTCATGTTGCAGCCCCTTCCTAGTTGCACGTGTCTCCCCTCTGAGTCTAAAATCATCCTGTTATTTCTGCGTGGTTGGCTTCTGTGGTTAGGCTGGCTCACGTGGCAGTGTCTGCCCTGCCTCCCTTCCACCTGCCTTTGTTTCCCCTGGGGCACTGCCCTGTCTGTCTGCCTGTCAATCAAGATGACTCCTCTCAAAGGTCCTGGGAAGATAAGAGGTTGAGGCCAAGCATCCTAACCCACGTGGGCCTGGGTTCTCTTGTCCTTGAACAACAGCGGGCACGGCTCTGGGAGCACCCAGCTGGGTGCCTGGGGGTGGGGGGAGGCAACGCTGGGTGCTCCGTGCTGGGGTCCTGGGGTCCCCTCTCTCTGGGGGGTTCCCTTGTGTATATTCCTGTGGTCCCTGTGGGGACCTGCGCTGACTGAGCCCAGCTTACACCAGAATCGCCACCAGGATCAGCAAGACCACGCCTGCCAGGCCCAAGCGGATGCTGTTCTCCACCGTGTAATCCCGGGAGGCGGGGCCTGGAAGCAGAGGGCAGGGGTCACTGATAAGTGGACACAACCCAGTCAGATTTTGACCTATGAGGCAGAAGCCCACTGCCCAGGTGAGCCCGCGGAGGGGACACCCCAGGTAGAGGTCCCCCGTCCCTAGCCCAGGCTCTGGAATGGGGAGCAGAGGTCTCCAGGGGTTCCTGTGAAGGGGGTGAGGTAAGCACTGAGCCCAACTTCCTCTCTGTCTGCCCCACTCACCTGGTCGTTCCACTCCCACAGCGCCCTCACCTGGCTTCTTTCTAGTCACCTCTCAGTAGAGAGAACACTCCGACACCCCCCAAAAAAGGCACAGGTAGAAAGGGTACCCCGGGTGGCACACTCTCTGCTTCCACTTGTCTGCGGGGCTGCTCACCCCTCAGAACATCCCACCACCCTCCCTACATTAGCACAGGGCAGCTGGTCCTGGCCAATGGACACACAGGGTGGGAGCCCCTGACCCAGCCACAGGGTCACAGGGCCTGGACTCTGAGCTCACCTCACCCAGCCACTGTGCCACCCACAGGCCCCCAGGGCAGGGAGGGTCACAGGGTCAGGATCAACTGGGTGGACACCCCCAGGACTGGTGGATGGGGGTCACCACGGGGCATGTGCTCCCACCCATGGGATGTCTGAGTCACAGCAGGATGTAGAGAGAGGAGAGAGAAGACACTCAGTTTTCAAGAAAGAATCGTCCCTCCATCCCTCCCTCTCTCCCTCCCTTCCTCTCCATGTCCTTGCTGGACCCTGACTCCAGTTCACCTCAGGGTCTGACCACACCAGACCAGGGGCAGCCTCATCCAAAAATTGCCCAAAGCACTGCTCAACCCTGGTCAGGGACCCCATGGAGCGCAGGACTTGCCCATGGAGGGTGGATCCCAGGGGACACATTGCCTGGGCCCCACTGAGCCTGGCCAGGGGAAAGGGCACGGCACCACCATCCTGAGGGGAAGGACTCAGGGCCCCTTGAAGGGGTCTGTCCCCACCTGCTGGCTGGAAGCTCAGGCCCCACCCAGCCCAGCAGGACAGCTCTGTGTCCCCTCTGATGTGGGGCTTAGGGTCCAGGCCACCATGGTGTCCAGATGAGACCAGAGTCCAGGGCCCTGAGCCAAGGGTGAAGGCTGAGGGTCATGTGTGCAAATGGAGGGGAGCCCCAGGGCTGGGGGTGAGCAGGAGGGCAGGGAGCCCGAGGACAGAGACGTGGCTTGGACAGGGAACAGGGCCCTTGGACCCACCTGAGTGCAGAGTGGAGAAGTCCTCCTCTGTCACCTTCAGCTCCAGGGGCTCACTGGGCTGAGACGGCCTCTCATCCACCTGTTCATAGAGGCAGCGGTAACTCCCTGCAGTCATATCACTCACCGCGGGGATGTGGAATCTGGCCTCTGTCACAGGCAGACCCTCTTGAGACACACCTTTGTGATAAAGGAAGACGCGTCTTCCTTCCTTCTCCAGGTGGTAGAACTCAGCCCAAGCTGGGCCCTGGCACACGAAGGTCACAGGCTGTCCCCGGGGGACCACAAGGCCTGGCTGGACCCTGAGGGAGGGTTTGGGCAGGAGCCCTGGGAGGAAGCAGAGCAGGATCTCAGGCTCCATCATGAGGAAATCTCCTACCTCACACCTCCCAGGTTTTAAGCCTGCAGCTCAGTGGTTCTTAGCAAACTCACAGAGCTGTGCAACCCTCACCACAGCCCAATTCTAGACCATGTGCACCATCCCTTCCTCAAGAGACCACCCATGTAAACCCTCTGGGGACTCAGTTCTCATCAATCCAATGACTTCTCCACATGACACAAGTTCTGGTGACATCCTGGGCTTTTCTCAGGGGGACACGGGAGGAGTCAGAGCAGCCTGGGGACCCAGGCACATCCCCCTCCCCAGGGCTGCTCTCCAGGGGGGCAGACAGAGCTGGGAGGGAGGCAGAGGGTGAGGATGAGCAGGTCCCTCGGGGACAGGGACGCTGGAGTGGGAGAGGGTGGGAATGAACTGACTGGGTCTGCGGGCAGCTGGGGGACATTGTGGGGTCCATAGGGGCCTCTAGGACCAAATGGAAAGGATAGTGGCAGTAGGGGGAGGGGAAAACCAGCCCAGACCTGCTCACAGAACCCCAGTGTGTGAGGTCCCCGGATTCCTAGCAGTTCCTCTGAGTAGCACTCACTCAGGTTCCCTCCGCAATTCTGGCAACCCTCTCAGCCCATTTCCACTTCCTTGTGATTGAGTCACCTGACACCCCAAGTGTCTAAACTGGGCTGGGCAGGGGAAGAGAGGGCTCTAGCCCTGAAACAGGAAGAAGGCATCCAAGTTACTCAATCCCCATAGAGGCAGAGCTGGCCGAGCCCCAGCGCTCATTCCCTCCTTCCTTCAGCCACAGCTCAGCTCCCATCTCTCCCTTTACAGACGCCTCCTTGTGCCACTGGCTCCACAAATAGGAGAAACACAGGAGGGTCCCTGCCTTCTTGGGGGAAGGGTAGAGGGAGCACAGGGTGAGGGGGAAGTGTGCAAACCACAGCCATGCGCTGTGATACTTGCCCAGGGCTGAGTGTGGGAGGCTCAGGGCTGAGTGTGGGAAGCTCAGGTGTGAGTGTGGGAGACTTAGGGCTGAGTGTGGGAGGCTTAGGGCTGAGTGTGGGAGGCTCAGAGGTGAGTGTGGGAGGCTCAGGGCTGAGTGTGGGAGACTTAGGGCTGAGTGTGGGAGGCTCAGAGGTGAGTGTGGGAGGCTCTGGGTGAGGCGGGCAGAGCTCACCTCTCATCAGAGGCAGAGGGGGGAGGCCCTGAGCTAAGACCAGAGGGTCAAGTGGGAATGAGCCAAGCCTAGCCCTCAGCCTGGGAGGTACTCAATTTAAAAAGGCGGACTCACCATCCTGCATGTGGATCGTCTGGACCAGGCAGAGCACTGCAAGGGAAGGTCTGGTGAGAACAACGCCCAGAACCCGGTCCTCTTTGGGCTGCAATCAGGGGGCCTTCCTGGAGGCTGTGGACTCAGCCCAAGAATATCCCGGGCTCCTTCCTCAGCATTCCCTCTGAGCACAATTCTACTTCCTGCTCTGAGTTTCCAGACAAACTCGCACCCCCACCTCTTCCAATCAGGTCCTCAGTCAGAACCTGTCCCCACACCCAGGCACCTGCTTCTAAGACTGACCCTCCCATGGTCACACTTAGGTCGGGGTCAGAGCTGAGGGCCAGGCTCCCAGGAGGGACCATAAGTCTCCTGGGGCTGGAGTCAGACGGAGCAGGGATGGCGACACCTCCCTCAGCTCCCCCCCCACCCTCCCCGCCCCGGCTCGGTCCCTGGAATGCAGTCCCTCCATCCAGGACTCACCGAGGCCCAGGAGGGTGGAGGGCCAGGGGCTCATGGCCAGCCTCTCCCAGTCTTCTCTGTCCTTTTCCACATGGAGGAAGCTGAGTCTGTCTGGGTGAGGGAGGACAGGGTCCTGAAGGTCAGTAAGTGCAGGACTGGCTCACAAGGGCCGAGTCATGTGCCTCATTTCCGTGGTTTCTCAGGAAGGGAGGCGGGTGCTCCTAGCCCCAAACCTAGTTTCCCCTTTTTGGGTCCAGAGAGGCCTTGGTGAAACTATATGAAAAATTAAATTTCTAATTTGTTCACACACCAATTTCTAACGATATATGTCCTAACCAGGCTCAACCTCTGACGAGATGAAACCTACATGGTATTAATTCACCAGTGATAGACAGATAAATATAGATATAGATATAGATTTAGATATATAGATCCTAGATATATCCTAGATAACTGGATACTCAGATACATAGATGTATAAGTTGTTACACAGATACACAAATTGAGATTTACATAGATAAATACATACCTGCACACATGGATATAGAGATAGTTACAAAGGTACTTAGTTACATAAACCCATACTGGGTGCATAGATAGATATACAGGTTGTCAGATACATCTACACTCATAAAAGGCAAAGATGCTAATTGACGTACCTTTGCTCCGCCACGAACACCAGCCAATCAGAGCAACTATATGCAAATTAACCCAACCAAGATGGCGGCCAGCAGCCACGGAGCTGGAGTAAGCAGGAGGCTTGGTTGCCCTGGCGATGGAGGAAGCCAAGCTTCCCGCCTGGCCTGGCCGGCTGTGGCCTCTGCAAAAGGCAATAAAATTTCAATTATAGAAGCTAAATAAATCCCAGTCACCTGCTTCCAGCCAGCGTCCACTCGGAGCTTGGGTGGCTGGGTGCTGTGGCCAGCCTGCAAACAGCCATCAGCCCCTCACCCAGGCTAGCCAGGCACCCCAGCGGGAACCCCTACCCTGAAGGGGCTGTGGCCACCCTGCAAATAGCCATCAGACCCTCACCCAGACTGGCCAGGGACCCCAGCAGGACCCTCCACCCTGAAGGGGGTGTGCACATTGTATCTATGTGCTGGGGGCAAATTCAGCAGATCATAAATGCAAGAAGTTCATCAAAAGGTTGATGGGCTTCTATATTCCTGGGAGAGCACAGAGCTGGGCTGGACACTGGAGGGGCTGAATCATATTACCTGATGCTAAAATACCTGAAAGCATTTCCCCAAACCTGAAAATCTACATGTTATTACCTGCTGCTGGCCAAACAGCTGAAGGCAGCTCCCCCAATGACAATGCCTACTGTATACTAAACCTTACCTTTGATGTGTATATCTGCTTTGCTGTAGAGCAATTTGTGTTAATAAAAAGCTAGGGTCCAGAGATCCAGAGAACTTGGTTGCTGAAGCTAGGTTTCCTCTGGCTCCCCAAAATGCCTTCCAAATTTATATGTCATGTCTAATCTCTTTATTAATTTATTTGCAGCCCTTCTCCAGATTCCTGAACCCATCTAGATTCAGGGAAAGACCCCGGTACCATGAAGGTCTGTCTCAGACACAGGACCAACAGGCGTGTATATACAGAGAGATGTATGGGGCAGGATTGGCTCACACAATCCAGGAGTCTGGCAAGTGCAAAATCTGCAGAGAGGACTGGCGGCTGGAGACCAGGGAGCTGCTGCTGCAGCTCAAGCCCCAGGAAGTCGGTCCACAGCATCTGGGGTCAGTCCTGTTCTCTTCAGCCCATGTGAGGAGGCCCATGCACATGGTGGAGGGCAGTTGGGTTTCCTCCCATGTCTTAGAGGCCCTGGGGGTGCTGGGCTGGGGATCATGGGGATACACGGAACAGTGAGCTGAGGTTTGTTCCTACCAAGATTGTATCTCACACACCTGAAGAATGAAATCTTGGACCAGAAGATTGAAGCAAAA